CATTAAAACATTAATTTTTTTCCCCGAAGAGAGATACTATAAACGTTGGTGCTTAGGGTTTGACTGGTAGATGTATAAATTCCCCAGCGGCTTCTGGGGAGCGAAGTGAATTCAAGGGGGTATTATTTCGACTGGGCTTAATGGGAAAGCTACTCAAGGAGGTGCTGCGGTGGATATGGGTATTCCTGTCAATAAGTTCACCAGTGTCCCAGACAGGGAAACGTAGAGAGTATTAGATTCATGAAAGCGTGAGCTAGGCACCCCACCAAACGCGTTCCTAGAGGTCGGTACTGGTGGGCACAAAAATTCTTTTCATTTCTGATCATGGGTAGTCACTCGCAATTGAATGCGGTGCCCCTAGATCGGTTAAGGGACAGCGGCCAGGTCACACCAAAGATCGAGTTCAACGAGAATTAGCGAGAATGCCGTGGGCGAGGAATGGAAAACACTGCTCCAAGCCCGCCAAGGAAATTGGATTCCGGGACCATTCTGCTCAACCAGAGCAGGCTGATCTCGAGTGCTTTCTTTGGGAGCTAAGGGTATCTTCCGGCACAGGGGTATGCACGTATGTATTGTAACGGACCTTAATGGCTCCAAATGCCTGCCACTTCGCCCGTACTGAACTAAAAATTGGCAAAAATCGTGTTGTACAGTATGGGGACAAAAGGGTTCCTCCGACACACGGTTTTACACCAAAAATAGACATTTTCAAACGGACAATTCCCAACGCTGATTATATGAAAAGACTTCAAATCTTTCCATTAGCTAGGGAATGGCTATATATTCCAACCTCTTCAAGTAGAAGTGTAAGGAATCAAAGCTGTCTTCATTGTTCATGATTCCATCAACCAGTGTGAAAGTGACCTAAATTTTTGTATGGGGCTCCATACAAAAAAGTACATGGCAACCAATACCAGATACTTAAACAACCTTTTCTCCATCATTTTATAATATTTCAGGATTCTGTAATATTCATCATGTTATCTACAGGTTTGCTAATACATGGACAATTTTGCGCAGAGTCTCATAGACATTGCACAATGAGAGAGGGTGGTGAAGATGGGCAGTTTTGCTGTAAAAAAGGCATCGGACAATCCCTTTTGTCCTAGTACTTTATATTTCAGACACCAACTACATTTCAAAGCCCATTTTAGGGGGACCTGCGGAATAACGGTAGCTTGAAAACCGATGTTTTTGGTGCTGTTTGTCTGCCGCCCCGTAATCCAGCGGATGGTACCAGTATCATGAATTAGGAGGCGACTACGAGTGGGGGACGGCTCGAGATACAGGGTATAAGAGTGTGGTACTATGCCATTTAGTGTAGAAACTCTGGATTCTTAATGGTGACATAGGCTATGGATAATTTATCGAGCCGTTATGTTGTTCCCAAGCAGGGGGGGAGGTCACCAAGTGGTTGTGGTATAGCGCACGGCGAGGTGGGAGAATCTGGTACCCGCGGTTATCCGCTATCATAGGTATAGAAGCCGGAAGAGCTAATTCCTCAAATGCCCAATTCTAGGGGGTTCGGATTCCTTGGGTATCGAATGGCGCATTCCATTTTCTGAAAAGTTGTGTCGCGTTATTATATAGCCCTCACCAACACTCGTGTCAAGAAAACGCTCTGCTGAAAAACACCCCAATTTCAAATATCACATCTTTGGACAAGAGAAAGGGTGCTTTATTTCATGATTAATGAAACCCTTGATTACCATGAAAGAGCCCCCTTGTACTATCCCGACCCCCCTTTACCCAAGCCATAAAACTCCCCGAAAAAACTCTAGATTTAAGCAGTGGTAGTCTTAGCAGCAGCCTGGTTAGGGTTGATCTTCTTCCCATCTTTGTTGTACCTGATACGTGGAGGGGGGGCACGGTTGCGACGACCTTCTCGGGAACGGACACTACAGAGTTGCATTAGCTGTCTGTGCCTCACGCATCTTGCGCGAGGTATTCCATGGAGCATACCGAACGATCTTTCCGTGGATGGCGCAAGAAACGCAATATTGGAGCTTCAGGTACATCTTAGGGACAGTGTACTCGGTGAAGACAGAGGCGTCGGAGATATCACCTAACCACCCAGCAGTTAACCACCCATACCTAAGTAGATAGTACAGAAGGGGGAAGTACGGATGGCGGCGGACTCGACCATATTACGAATAGTGAATCTCTTGATAGCCTTATCCTTAGGGGTACATCGAGAGCAGTTTGAGCAACGGATGGGCTTGACGTGCCCGCGTCCCTTCTTGTTGCGACCGCTATTCGAAGAAAAAATCCTCCATCAGCATCTCTCTTCTTAACCGCATTTCACCCCGTTGGTCTCCCACGGACATGACCCTCGTTCCGAATTGCTAGGGTCCTGCCGCATCGGCTCTCCGTATGATTGGAATTGTGTAGACGTACTTGGAAGCTCTCTTCTTGACCATGATTTTGGATTGACGTTACTAAGTCGGGATATCCACCAAAAATTTAGTTCCACACAAAAATCGTGGTTCGGGCGAGTTTTCTTACGACGTGAAAAAGGTGCTTGATTCGTTCTTTGGGCGAGCCGTTGTTCGGTAGTTGGGCGTGTAAGTTGTGGCGACGAATTGAGAACGCGTGCGCACTCAAATTTTGGCGGGGTTGGAAGAATTGTGTGTGTTGCCAGATGTGACGGGTGGAAAGGTTAAAGCCCTAGTCATGTGATCTCTCCCTCCTACAGGCCTTCTCAATAGCAACCTTATTTGAGGTGCCTGGGCAGAATATATATATATCGTCAGGGCTTCTCGGCTCCAGATGGGCTATTATTGAGAGATTTGTACTTTGGTTGATGCAGCTAGGGTTGAGATACAATGGTATGAGGATTAGGAGGGGCAGTGGTCACTTTGTATTTGCCCCCCGTCTCTTTTCCAACTCTGAATCCTGGTCTTGGCAAGCACACAACTCAAGTGAAAACCAACAACGTTTACTGAAAAATCTCCCTTCTGACTGTCAACGGGCCCAAATTATCAGCTTTGGCAGCAATCATGGAGATGCCTATAAATACCCTTATGGTCGAGGGGTCCATCGACGGTATCTCCCGATTTCATATTCCCTTACCCCTGAAATTGGATGCCCGAGCTGGAAGCTAATAGCAGGGGTGGTGAGATGTCAGACCAAGTGCTCGAGATGGCCCAGTATCTCGAGACACGGAAGGGATCGCGGGGGCTTGTTGCTCAAATAAAATCGCAATTTGAAGGAGAGGCCTACGACCTCGATAGTTGTTTGCGTGAGATTGTAAATGCCAGCAGCGCTCTTTCTACTGCGCCAGAGAAAGGTAGCATTTTGTCTTCTCTTCCGATGTACCGCGGAGATTATCTTGCTAAATGTGAGATAGAATTTATTCCCGCTTATAACTTTCTTATCCACCTTGTTCGTTCGTCAACAGTGCTACCAGAGTTGCTGCCTACAATTCTACAAAACCTCTCCGCACCCCCTTCCACCTCACCGATTAATGGACCCTCTCTTTCGGTCCACGCTCTGTCAACTATCTTCAATGTTCTTCCTGCCGGCAGCCCTTTACGATACCCGGTCTTCAAGGCAACTCTACAGGTCGTTACTGAACATGGGATGTACGACGTTTTGGCTCCTCAATTGAGGAATATCGAGCGATGGGTCGGGGAATGGGAGAGTTCTATCGCCGAGATCAGGGATCTATATCTCACTATCGCCGACGCGGCTGAGAAGGCTGGGGATGCTGAGTATGTGCTCGTTCTTTTTCGAATTATTTTTCCCTGAACCAGAGCTAATTCATAGTAGTCAATTCTATTCCTTCCTCTTCCGTACCTTGCAAAGTTTCACTCCTGAAGAATCCACCGGTGAAGAAGCTCGAACGATTGCCGTACGTTTATTGAAAGCATCGGTAAACTTACCAAGCCGTCTCGAATTTGATGATATCATCGCCCTGGACGCAATTCAACAACTTTCCAACACCAACCCGGAGGCCTTTGCTCTACTGGAGGTATTTGCTGGCGGGGATCTCGAGGATTACGAGGAATTCAATGATGAGCACGATGGCTGGGTTGACGATAATGGTTCGCCCTACCATCTATTCCTTAGGACTACTCTAACTATGGACAGGAATCGACCACTCTGTCGCTTTCCGCAAAATCCGTCTCTTGACTCTTGCGTCTCTAGCCTCCACAGCCTCGAGCCGGGAGCTACCGTACTCCGTGATTGCCCGCCGTCTGCACATCCCTAGTGAAGAGGTAGAGCTTTGGGTAATCGATGTCATCCGCGCAGGGCTGGTAGAAGGCAAACTCTCACAACTCAACCAAACATTCCTCATTCACCGCTCCACCTATAGGTCTTTCGGAAAGTCTGAGTGGGAGGAGGTTGGTGTCAGATTGGATAACTGGAAAGCCAGTTTGAGAAATATCCTAGAGGTTGTCAGAGGCGCCAGAGAACAGGTTGTCGCTCAGGGCGGTGATAGTGCGGTGCAATCAGCAATCAATGGAGGGGGAAATACTTTGCAGGTTGAGGGTTAGATTTCCAGGTGGTGTTGTGCCCAGAGTCATGCTCGATATGAAAATAAATGGGGGTTCTTGTTCGCTGAGGGTTTTTCCTTGCATATAATCATTAACCATCACTCGCAAAATTATTTTCGCATTAAAATGATAGAAATTCAATGGCGCCGAGTCGAAGCTCATGTGGATTTCCGGCATCGGTGCATACCCCAGAGATTTCGGTGTGATTCCAACTCTAAAATATGTATGCTCCTAGGTCTCATGTTATGTTCGAATTCTTATACTGAGGCAAATTACTATCATAACACACTCGAGGGGTCGGAGTGGAAGTCCCTACCTTGAGCCACTCAACCCCGCGGAATTAATAAGTAATATGATGCAGCGCCCGTTCGGCAAATCTTCAATCCACTATAAAGTTTCGACCTTCAAAATCCAAGCCTCAAATTAACCTTCTTCTTAATTTGGCAAAAGTAAGCTCCAAGCTTGATCTCGGGAATGAAATAGGCCAGAAACAAAAGCTATCGACATCGACAAGATTCGAACTTGCGCACCCGAAAGTAAGAGATTTCTAATCTCTCGCCTCAACCACTCGGCCACGATGTCTTGGGACCTTGTGGACGAGTTGATAAGAGGAAGGTATTAGTCGGGTTAGCTCTGGCCAATTCTGTGGCAGAGGTTCGGGCTGGATAGAGTTCTCCGGGTATCTGAGGAATCGATTGAGTTATCGATTTGAGTGCTTGGGTGTTTGCGAATTGGGTTCCTTTTTACACTTGGTGTTATCTTAATAAATTCGGGGGGGCTTTGCCAGTTCTAAATCTGATAGAACGAGCGAGATGCTTACTAACTACAGTGCACCTCGAATCAAAGCGCCACTTCATACGTGTGTGATCCGAGAAAGTGTTGGAATCTTAGCTAAGGTGGATCGAAAGGTAACAATGAATTATTAGTACACTACACTACTGAATGCTGAGAGGAGACGGTAAGTTTATAGCGAAAATATGGTTCCGGTGCAGTCGGGCGGTTTTCTTTCTGTAACCATTTATCCCCTGTACGTATACATGGAGTATCTCTGAGGATTGCACGATAAGCTTTTTTCTTCTTTCCTTTTTTCACTTTGGTGAATGCGGTAGCGGACACTTGTATGTTAGTCCTAAGGCACTGGTGCCCGAAGGTAATGTGGGGACGCTGTGGTGGCTGTTTACGGGGAGAAAAAAAAACTAGACTTGATATTTTCTCACGGGTATCTACTCGTGAGCAATTGCTGGACTTATCTTACGCTCCTTCCTTTGCTCGTACTCTACCAATACGGAATACTGATTCACCATCATCTACAACTCCTTTCTGAGCGGTCTTTGCTATCGGGGCTTGATACCGTGCAAGCGAGTGAGATCCTGTGCCAGCCAATTTGGGATTCTAGGCGTTTTTAATGCAGGGATCGTTAGTTGCCAAGCACGAAAACCACAGGACTCAAAACGAATTACCGGAGCGGTTGTCCTGAGCTCTCCGAATTTAGCAACGGCGTCACTCCTTTTCATTTTCACTTCTTCTCGGCTCGGGTGCGGTACTTCTCTCATCGGGATCTTCATCCCCTCCCTCAGATCGAATTGTTTTGTTCCCTGTTTTCCATCCCACATACGTTTTGTTACACCAACTCCTTTCCCGTGACGGATTAGCTAGTTACACCTGACGCACCCTCCACACACACATATTTCTCATTCTCAAACGCCAATAACAACAGACAGAAGCAGGAATATATAAAAACCCTACCTCGCACCCCATGTCTTCAGCTTTCCGTTCCATCTCTGGCAGGATCGTCTCAAATCTTCAACACCCTATCCGCAACTGCCCCGCAGCACTCACAAGACTACACCTTCGTTTTCAACCGAGAAACGTTCAGCCTTCATCAATTCCCTCTGCATTTCGCGGAGCCCCGGCAAGAAATTACGCGACAGGTTCCGGAAAGGGAGGGGAAACCGCCGGCTCCAAGAACCCGTTCCCCATAATCCCACTGCTTGCCATCCTTGCTGCTGGTAGCGGAGGGTTCTACTTTCTTGTGCAGAGCCGTAAGGGTTTGTTTATCATTGCTATATACTCATTACTTGTCAGCAGACTGATGACAAGTTAGAGCCGATGCCTGCCATCGAGGAGCCATCGAGGAAGCCTAGACTGACAGCCGGGGATGTAAAGAAGCCGGCTTTTGGTCCGGGAGAAGTCTCAGTTATCTTTATTCTTGGTTTGTTTTTGGGGTCCTTACTCTCGTGGGAAGGGAGACAGGGCGGGAGCGATTAATACGGCGGGTTGCTGACGGTGATTTAGGTGGACCCGGGGCTGGAAAGGGTACTCAGTGTCAGAACTTGGTGAGGGACTACGGGTTTGTCCATTTATCAGCTGGAGATCTTCTTAGGGCCGAGCAAAACCGTGAAGGTTCGGAGTTTGGCGAGCTGATCAAGACGTATATCCGCGAGGGAAAGATTGTGTGTTCCCGTCGAACTGATCGGTGGGGTCGGTAGGGAGGGGATATGCAGTTACTGACTAGCTTCTCCAGGTCCCTATGGAAGTTACCGTTGCCCTCCTCGAGAACGCTATGAGAGATGCTATTGCGGCCCAGCAGAAGACTATGTTCTTGATTGATGGTCCGTCTTCTTCAAATGGTTGAACGGTGGATTGATTTAATTTGGGTGGTTTATAGGCTTCCCCCGACAGATGGACCAGGCTCTTAAGTTTGAAGAGGAAGTGTCTGAATCCAGGTTTACCCTCTTTTTCGAGTGCTCGGAGGATACTATGCTGCAACGTCTTCTCAAGCGTGGTGAGACTAGCGGACGTATTGACGACAACATTGAGAGTATTAAGAAACGCTTTCATACCTTTCAGGTCACTAGCATGCCCGTCGTAGACTACTACGATAAGAAGGGTAAAGTTGTGAGAATCGATGCATCGTCTACCCGGGAGGGGGTGTACTCGCAGGTTCAGAAGCAACTTATCGTATGCGGGATCCCACCGCGTCGTGTATCCGCATACATGCTGACTTTCCGGTAGGATAAACTTAAGGCTTAGATGACTTATCAGATCGTGCTGAATGATGTTGCGCTCCCTTGTGGGCACTTTCGACTAGACACGTTGGGTTTCACTTTCCATTTGTCAATTCACATACAAGTCGTTGTAATAAGACGCCTTGCCTTCCTTTGTTTTATTGGTAACCGTGGTGTTCGATTGTTTGTTCTATATGCTTTCACTACGGATATCCGTGTTGTTGGCCTAGTCTTGGTGGAAGGGGTGAACGCTGGAGTAGATAACTATAGAGCTGTTTTGCTTGGGTTTTGGAGGAATATTCTGAGCTTGGAAACCAGAATGCTATATAGTATATGGTATATAGTAATAGTGTGCGCAGTATAATCACGGAAAATTGAATAGACACTTATAAGTGGATTGGCAACAGCGGGATCACAACTAAAAGCATCCCGTGCTGAAAATTACAGTTCGTTGGGTAAAACGAGGAATTAAGTCACAAGTCCCAGCTCACCTAACACGACCCTCCCCATTCCTAACCGCGACGGCTGACAGCGATGACCTCCAATTGAATATCTCTACAACCCAAGCAATGCTAACAGCCATCTCTGTTATACGCTCATAATCATCTCCCCCTTTTTTCTCGCGAAATTTTCACCATGCCGGAAGTGTACACGGAACTAACAGCACCGACCTCCGTGTCTTTCTCCCTCAAGCTTCCCTTCACCTCTGCAACCTCCGAAAACGTCCTTGTCGCTAAAACCTCCCTCCTGCAGATATTCACTACCACCACATACGAAACCGAGCTCAGCTCTGCCTCAGTAAATACAAAGCAACCTAGCGACATCGACCGAAGAACCCTCGATGTAGACGAGGAGCAAACCTTCGCAGCGGACATTGCGCTGCAACGCTCACAAGTCGAGTCAGTCACGAAATTGGTGTTGGTAGCAGAGTACCCACTTTCTGGATCTGTGACTGGTCTACAGAGGATAAAATTGCTGTCTACCCGCTCAGGGGGTGAAGCAGTGCTGGCGTCGTTTAAGGATGCCAAATGCTCATTGATGGAGTGGGACCCCGAGACGAATTCGATTACTACGATCAGTTTGCATTATTACGAGAGGGAGGAGTTTTGTTCACCTGTGGTGCCTGATGGATTGCCAACGGAACTGGTGGCGGATCCGGGAAGTCGGTGTGCTGCTTTGAGGTTTGCTGGGGATATGCTTGCCATCATACCCTTCCGGCAGCGGGAGGATGAAGAACTTTCGCTTGGTCGCGGAGATGGTGATGAGATCATGGGTGATGAAGATGGGGATAATGACGACTGGGATCCCGAGATGGCGGGTACTGCACGCGGGGAGGATACTATCATGGGCGAGGGTGACGTTAAGACAACTGACGGTACCGAAGGAAAAGATAGGCCGTATCATCCTAGTTTTGTCCTCTCAGTATCCCAACTTGACGACGCAATTTCACATGTCATCTCACTCACATTCTTGCATGAGTACCGGGAACCTACATTTGGTATATTATATTCCCCGAGAAGAACCTGGACGGGTTTACTCGCTGCAGAGGGGAGGAAGGATACTATTTCTTATATTGTTATCACGCTTGATCTTGAACAGAAAGCCTCGACGCCTATTTTGAGTGTGTCAGGTTTACCATACGATGTATTCAAGGTCGTTCCACTGGCACCCCCAATTGGCGGTAGTTTGCTGCTTGGTGGAAACGAACTTATTCACGTGGATCAGGCTGGGAAGACCACTGGCGTTGCAGTCAATCCGTTTTGCAGGCGGAGCACCGGTTTTGCTGGACTGGCTGATCAAAGCGACTTATGCTTGGAGTTGGAGGGAAGCCAAGTTGTTGAGTTGGAGGGCGAAGGCGGCGATATGCTGCTCTTTACAAAACGGGGCGAAGGAGTTATTGTGGGATTCAAGATGGATGGTCGGAATGTTAGTGGTGTTAAGATTACCAAATTAAATAATCACCCCGGATCAATGGTTGGCGGGAGAGTTAGCACCGCTGTTGGACTTGGTGGGAGAAGGCTCTTTATTGGTTGCATCGAGGGTGACGCCCGAGTGCTTAAATGGAGGCGAAAGGGCGAGAGAAAGAAAGCAGGGGAGGGGATTAAGGAAGAAGTCTTAGAAAACGAGGACGAGGATGATGTTTATGGAGCTTTGGAAGATATGGATGATGACCTATACGGGGGTGGTGGAGACGCAAACTTCCGTAAAGACTCTCTTACTAACGGCCGGAGGAACAGTGAGACAAAATCTCAAGGAGAATACATTTTTCAGACTCACGATCGCCTGACAAACCTAGGTCCGTTCCGGGATATAACGCTTGGTAAACCGACCTTCTCAGAAGAGTCCGGGGAACGCCAGAAGGGCGTCTCCCCAGAATTGGAGCTAGTGACCACCTCCGGCCCCTCTAACACATCGGAGGACTCCGGAGTAAGCATAATTCGAAAGTCAATCTCACCCACAATTGTTGGGCGTTTTGACTTTCCCCAATGCCAAGCGCTGTGGACTGTCCGTGCTCGCTCAGCAAAAACCTCTAATGCAGCAGTAGGGCTCGGGGGCGAGGAAGATGACCGTAGC